TGCCTTGCTAAATCGACAGTGGAAATTTATGGCATAGTGCAGTGAAAATAGTTTGATTTACAGTAAAACACCAGCAGCTGTGGCTTTGAGAATTTAACTACATAAGAAACAATGGCAAGGTATGACAATAAATTTAAAAATGTGGAATTTATGGTAAACTGTAGACAGCTGGAGTTGCCAGATTTTGGTTGTGAAAACTATAATGACAGTTTGGGCAGATTGCCACAGAAAGGCTTACAGCAGTTTTAGATTGGAGACCTTTTCAATTAACAGCCTAACTATTCCACCATGCAGCACCATCACTGACCAACAGAGGTGAGCAGCAGAGCATGTTGAACAAGCAATGCCAAACTTAAGTAGCTCATTGAGCTGTATGAATAAAAATAAAGCTAAAGCTTTGCTGAACTTCTAAATCTTTTAATAAAACAACCGTATAAACTATGTATATTTGACGTACATTTTATGCATAATGTCTGACTGGTGTTCTTCAAGATGCTGCATATAGTGTAAAGGTCACAACATGATCACAATATTGTGGATACTTTGCAAGAACATTACAGTATTGTTTAATGAAATGTGATGGCAGTGACTCTGGAACTTCATCCATTGAATTAAGCCAAAACAAAACACGTAATTTTGTGATCATGGAAGTTTTTAATATTACAATTACTTTAATGCGGTGACTTGCTGGGTTTGTAGATTTTCCTATACTATTTTCTAATCCTAATTTTTCTAGACTTTGTGGGCGGCTGTGGCTGAGTGGTTAGAGCAGTCGTCCTCCAATGCAAGAGTTGGGGGGTTGATTCCACCAGCTGTCACATGCTGAAGTGTCCCTGGGCAAGACATTGAACCCCTCATTGCCTCCAATGTGTGTCCCATCGGTGTATGAATGTGATAAAGCTCTGATTAGTCTTTGTAGAGATCTTGTAGAGTGCTGTATGAATGGGTAAATAAGGACACATATTGTGTTGTAAAGAGCTTTGAGTGTCTTGATCAGATAGAAAGGTGCTATATAAGTACAGTCCATTTAACATAATGTCAAAAGTAAGGCATGTAAATTATATTTTACATTATTGGTGCTGACCTCAACCAGTGATGTCATCGGAAGGTGGAAGGAATACTTCTTGGACCTTCTCAATCCCACCAGCATGTCTTCCATGGAGGTAGCAGGGTCAGGGGACTTTGGGGTTGGTAAATGGTAAATGATAAATGGACTGTACTTATATAGCGCCTTTCCATCTTATCAAGATACTCAAATTGCTTTACACTACAATCTGTGTCCTCATTTACCCATTCATACAGCTCTATACTAGATCTATACAAAGCTAATTGAACAACTCATTTTAAAGAGACTAATCAGAGCTTTAGATCACATTCATACACTGATGGGACACATACTGGAGGCAATGAGGGGTTCAGTGTCTTGCCCAGGGACACTTCAGCATGTGACGCTGGTGGAATCAAGCCCTCAACTCTTGAATTGGAGGATGACTGCTTTAACCACTCAGCCACAGCTGCCGTTGTTCTGTCCATAACTGTGGCTGAGGTCGCCGATGTGGTTAAAAAGCTCAGAGGCAGCTGGGCTCCGGGAGTGGATGAGATTCACCCTGATTTCCTTAAGGCTCTGGATGTTGTGGGGCTGTCTTGGTTGACTCTCCTTTGCAAAGTTGCGTGAACATCGGGGACAGTGCCACTGGATTGGCAGACTGGGGTGGTGGTTCCCCTCTTGTAAAAGGGGGCCTGGAGGCTGTGCTCCAATTACAGGGTCATCACTCTCCTTAGTCTCCCTGATAAGGTCTATTCAGGGGTACTGGAGAAGCGAGCCCGTTGTCACCTATTCTGTTCATAACTTTTATGGACAGAATTTCTCGGTGCAGCCAGGGGCAGTGGGATTCTGGTTTGGTGGCCTCAGGATTCCATCTCTGCTCTTTTTCAGATGTTGTGGTCCTCTTGACATCATCATGCAGTGATTTTCAACTCTCACTGGAGCAGTTCACAGTCAAGTGTGAAGGGATGGGTTGAAAATTAGCACCTCCAAATTTGAGGCCATGGTCCTCAGTTGGAAAAGGCTGGATTGCTCTCTTCTGGTCGAGGGTGAGGTTCTGCCTCAAGTGAAGAAGTTTAAGTGTCTCGTGGTTTTGTTCAAGAGTGAGGGGAAAAAGTGAGGTCTTGTGATGGGGGTGGAGTGTTAGATTGAAAGACAGATTGGTGCAGCGTCTGCAGTATTGCAGATTCTGTACCAGTCTGTTGTGGTGATGAGGGAGCTGAGGCCAAGCACTCTGTTTATTGGTCAGTCTACATTCCTACCCTCACTGATGGTCAAAAGCTCTGCGTAGTGACTGAAAGAATGAGATTGCAGATAAAGCGCGGCT